CTGATCCATAGAGTAGCTTGCTGTTGAAAATCCGGATTTTATTTTGACGTTGAGTGCTGTTGACCTCCGCACAGACTTGAGAATAAAGAAGGCTTGCCTCGCTTTCTCGATCCTTGCTTTGATATCCTCGTCAGCACCGTCGGCCTGTAGTTATAACGATGCTTCCCAGGTAGGTACGTGAAGAAGGTTGCTTCTGTCAGATTTCTCCCGTTTATCCTCATTGTGTGCGTCGGTGGCATAGCGGTTAGCACGCTCGCCGACCATGCATTTAATGCATCGTTTCCCAGGGATACAGTACCTGTTGCCTGGAAGTAAATGAGGAAACTGGATGTAATAAAGTCGTCTTCTGGATTAAATTCAAATTTTAGGACTATCAACGCCACGTATAAATTTCTGAAAAATTGTGGAGAAACTCCGTTCGCATATACTTAAACCCTTCTGAAATCTTTCTACGGCCCGAAGCAGATTGCTTACAAATGCAGTTGTCAGCCACATCTCGTAAACCGTTAATGCCCAGCTCTTGCTACGCTCGGGCTCACACTGTTCCTTCAAGTTTCTCAGAAACGCTTAGTAATAACGGACGAAAAAACCAAAACACCAATTGTTGACTCGAGGATTCTTTATTGTTACACCAACATATAAAATATGTTTCCACTAAGGTCTGTGAACAAATATTACAATAATAAATCACAATATTACTTCTGACGGTTTACTGCTGACTTCTTTCTGAACAGCGACCGATGAGACGATGACTGTCGTATTGATGCCTCCGCGAAAATTGGGGAAGTTGGTTTTGAGCAAACAACCATGAATTGATCGTTCAATCTTCAACTACATTGACACTCCCCGGCAAAAAATGGATCCATCACTTTTTTCCATCACGACCAATACACGTTGACTTGGGTGCCATTGCGAGAACCTGGGTCACATGGACAGAGCTGAAATGGAAAACAAACAGAAAAGCCAACACACCACAAGCATACCCACAGCACAATCTCACACATCAATGACGACCTGCGCCTTCCAGTTATAGGCATCCTCTTGCAACACAATCTCCACTTGGTAGAATGACTCTTGCAGACTGCAACGTGACCATAGCAGCACCTCACGATACTCTACGCACATCCTCATATCTACTCACTACCAATTACCACTGGAATCGCTTGTCACTCATTCTACCTCAGTTCTAGTAACGGTAACGTATGCGAGCCTCAGTCGTTTACACTCTTTCTCCCCGACGTGTGGGACCGCAGCCAACAATTATCCCCGTATGCATTTCATTCTCAGCAATAGCCTACCCGGCGTATACGACCCATCTGCTGTCCTTAACATCAATCAATTCATTCATGGATGTAGAAGACTCGAAACAACTTCAGAAGTAATCACGACGAAAATTTTAACAAAATTACGTAATGACAACAAGGTACGAAAACAACGAGTAAACACAATTAATCCAAAAAACACCAATTGATATGACACACCACACATATGTACAAACAGTACACACAAACTCGCGGATCGTGTCTCGATGGAATTCCTTTGAAGAATCGCAGGACTTACACCAGTACGCCTACAGTCCCTCTCAGGTTGACGCTCTAGGTTGGAAAATCTTCTAGTGTTTCATCCTCCGACTCTCGACACTCAGCACCTTCCAGTAGACACAGTTTTCTAATATCTCGCACCAACATTCCACAACTTGTTCTCACCTCAACCGTCCTCACCAATCCATCACCACTACAGATTAGCCTTACTACCACTCCCAAAGGCCACCTACCTGTGGCACATTTATCTGCTACTAATACTATGTCACCAACCTTTAAGTTTCGGCACAACTTTTTCCACTTGTCCCTGGTTTGCAGTGTTAGAACATACTCCTTTAACCATCTTTTCCAAAATATATCTTTCATGTGCCTGGCTTGTTTCCATCTTTTAATCGTAGGTATTCCTTCCCCGCTTGCGTCCTCTATGCCAGGGTTGCCTCTCAATAACAATAATTTATTTGGGGTTAACACATCAAAATCCTTGACGTCGTCCCTCACAGGTGATAACGGCCGGTCATTTAATATTCGTTCAGCTTCACAAAAAAATGTCTCCAGCGTTTCGTCATTCAAACTCTGGTTTTTAATTATGGAGCTTAAAATACGCTTGATAATTCCTATAAGTCTTTCCCATAGCCCACCTCTATGGCTGGCATGTGGTGGATTGAAGTGCCACTCGATGTTCCTTTTCAGTAACTCTTCCTGAACTCTCGTTTGGGACCTTCGAAGTACTCTTTAAGCTCGGCGTGACAGCCAACAAAATTAGTCCCTCTGTCGCTGAACATCATCTTCGGTACACCCCGGCGATTTATAAATCTATGTAATGCTAGCACGAATGAATCAGTAGTTAGCGTATGAACCATCTCAATATGCACAGCTCTCATTTTCAAACAGGTGAATAAACAGCCATATCTTTTACATAGGGTTCTGCCTCTCTTCACTACAAAAGGTCCGAACAAATCCACCCCAACGTACTCAAATGGATAATTCCCTTCAGAAGCTTGCCACGCTGGGAGTGGTGCCATCATCTGCTGTACTGGACGAGCATTTCGGAGTTTACATTCCATGCACTTATCAATTATTTTACGGACAGCAGTACCTCCCTTCACTATCCAGAACTTACATCGAATACTTGATAGTACTTGCGAAGTACCCAAATGACCTTCAAGAACATGGTAGTGTCTTATAATGAGATCAGTGACTGGATGGTAGCAAGGTAATAAAGCCGGATGACGGGTCTCATATGACGATTCTAACATTTGTAGACGTCCACCAACTCTAGCGATCCCTTCGGAAACTATCGGAGATAATCTATCTAACCGCACCTTGAAATCTGCGAAATCGGGACTATCCTCCTTGGCAATCTCACCCCACGCTTCCCACTGAGCAGCCCTCAAAATCGCTAACTCTGCATTTCTAATATCTTCGACTCTCAAAGGCCCCACATTCATATTTTCGTATCCCGCAAGATGCATGACCTTTAAATACGTAACATATCGTGTCAACCACGCAACAGCTTTCAGTAGTTTGTACCAAGAAGAATAATATTTAAAAAGTGGATGTAAACCTGAATGTCTTTCTTGAGTAGATGTTAAACTGACACTTGTCTTCAACTCCAAGGCACACTCGTTTATCGGTGGTTCATCTTCTCTACGAGGCCACATACTATCAGCCCTTAGCAAGAACTCTGGACCTTTCCACCACTTATTTTTAACCACATTCATATCAATAACTCCTCGCGAGGCTAGATCAGCTGGATTTTTTCCAGACGGTACGTACCTCCACTGCTCAACAGTTGTTAGTTCACGAATTTGAGATACTCTGTTAGCTACAAAACATGCATATCTTGCTGACTCGTTGCGTATATAATATATCACAGACATCGAATCAGTCCAAAACGTTACGGGATGCTTGGGGTAATCCAACTCTTTACACACCGTTGTGAATAACTGCGCAGCTAGTAAGGCTGCATTAAGTTCTAATCTCGGAATCGAAACCGTCTTTAGAGGTGCAACTCTAGATTTACCCATCACCAGGCTAACATCTATATCATTCCTTAAGGTGGTTCTGATGTATACGGCTGCACCAAATCCAACCTCAGAGGCATCAGAAAAAACATGGAAGTCAATTATATCATGATTTCTCGACGGCTTAAGTGGACGTGAGACGGAATGTAGATTCAGCATTCTTAAACTGTTAACCCACCCCTTCCACTCTTCTCTCTGCCTCTCACTTAATGGTTCATCCCACTGTAACCCTTTCCTGCATGTCTCTTGAAATAACCTCCTAGCCGGAAGTAGATAAGGTGCTACTAATCCAAGTGGGTCAAACACGGACGACAACACAGAGAGCACACCTCTCCGAGTAACTGGCTTATCAATATCACCAACACTAAATCCAAAGGTATCAGAGTTCACATCCCATCGCATACCTAATGTGCGTTCAACTGGTAGAGTATCAACAGGCAAATCTCGTACGGTAGGTGCTCTGTCTTCTGGATCTATATGCTTCAAAACGTCTAGGCTGTTCGAGACCCACTTAGTTAGACGAAAGCCGGCCTTAGCTAACACTTCAGTAATGCTTGTTGCAAATCTAACTGCAGACTTATCATCATCGAAGGAGGCTAAACAATCATCCACGTAGAAGCAACAATCTATGACGTCCAGCAAATCATTAGAACCAAATGTGGACACTGCCTTTCGTAGAGCAAAATTAGCACAAAATGGGGAGGACGTGGCACCAAATGGATGCACTGTCATCCTATATTCTGACACCTTACCACAAGGACCGTCATCAAACCACAAAAACCTCAAGTGATCTCTGTCACTCTCTGGCACCTTCACCTGTAGGAACATTTCCTCAATATCCGCCGCGACAGCAACTGTAAACTTTCTGAATCTTAATAGCAGTCCCACTAATGAGCTCACGCAATCTGGGCCACTATACAGATTATCATTTAAAGAGACTCCTTCATGTTTCGCAGAACAATCAAACACCACACGGAGTTTACCTGGCTTCCTCGGGTTAAAGACGGGATGATGGGGCAAATACCACTTCCCTGGCTCACTCTGATCAACTAGTCTTTCAACGTAACCCTTCATTATATGTTTATCGACGACTTCCTTATATTTGGACCAGAGTTCTGCATCTGACAGAAATTTCTTCTGTAAACCCATTAGTCTCTTAAGAGCAACTTTCCTATTACAAACCAACTGTCTATCTTTGAATCTCCATGGTAGGCCAACGCTGAAACGCCCGTTTTCGTATTTACAAGACTCCTCGGCTATTTTAACTGCTTTTAAATCTTCTACAGAATAAATAAATAAATAAATAAATTTATTCTCATGATACAGTACATGAGGGACGCCAGTTTACAGGCATCATCAAATTGTTACAGAAATAGGATCATATTATTCAGTCACAATTTATTTTATTTTATTTTATTTTATTTTTTTTATTTTTGATTTACAGCTTGACTCCACACTGTATTTTTGGTACTAGTATGGAATTTTCAGCATGGATATCGGTAGCCCAAATTTTGCAGGCCGACCATAGATATCAGGTGTGCGCCGGCGTGGGCTCGAACCTCGGACCATGTGCATGGTCGGCGAGAGTCCTAACCACTGTGCCACCGACGTACAGTCGATAGCAAAATATGTTTAACATGTACACTGGAGATTATACGTACACTTGATAAATGTTAATCCGAATAGTATAAAACATCCTTTTCACTTATGTACAATCATTTCTGTGCATAGTTGGAAAAATCCGCTAGATTTTCAGTGAGTGCAACACATCAGGAAATACAGAAGTACTGTCTTCGCATTAACAAAAAAACCAGGTCTTTGGTGGATGGGTTATAAGTGCCTGGGAAAAAAATAAAGCTTGAAGAACGACCCGTCTCAGGGACACCGCAGTCGCAAAACTCCTTGTCATACATATTTTTAATCATAGTTTCTAGTTTGTCCCCATCGTTTGCAACTAATGATGATATATGGACTATGGGTATAGGTCCTCTCACTGTCCATCCCAGTGGTGTTTTCGTCGCGAACAGATCATCTCTACCTCCGAATCTCTCTTCTAATACCTTGTGAGCTTCTGGCACACTACATCCAATGAGTACTCTCACTCTTCCATCTTGCAGTGTTGGAAGAGGTATGTCACACAGGTATGGCTTACCGACAACCGTTTCACGACTAGGTACTATAGCTTCGCCAAGTTTCATACTGGAGGTAGGGTAAGCAGTATCCACTTCCACGGTCTCCCCAATAGCCAAGGATTCTAACTGAAATGACACTCGCTCACATACTGCTGTTTTCACAGAATTGAAAGTATTTACAATCAGGGGTTGCTTTGGGCCTTTAATACCCGAGCAACCAGCCAGTTCAGCATCTATCAATGTAACGTCTGAACCATTATCCAACAATGCATAAGTCTCTACTGAAGATTTCGGTCCTTTCACCTTAACTGGTAATACCCCTAAGAAAACTTGTGGGATGTCAAGGGGTCTAGAGATACTATTACAATTAACCGAATTCCCAGGTTCGTTCACTGTTCTCAGAAGTGGGTGCATATTCGTTAAACCACTACTTCTTTTATTTGTCGCCTTACAATTCCACTTCGTATGCCCACTCTTTAAACAACTGAAACACAGCCGCTTCTGCTTTGCCATTTTTAACCTTTCTACGGGTGACATAGCGATAAAGCGATTACAATCACTCAATTGATGCATGTTATGGCAGACAATACACTCATCCTTTCTCGTTGTGTCTTGAGACTTCACCACAAATGCCTTCCTTATATTCACTGGCTCCTTAGGTTCTACCTTAGAATGCAAAATGCTGGCGAATTTGCCCATCGCCTGGTTGACACTGTCCTTCACCAGTCTCAGAATATCATCAAACCTTGGTTCGATACCCTCATCCTCTATACGAGAGCTTATTTTTACCCACTTCCTTTGCAGCCGAGTAGGTAGGCGTCTCGCGATTACCTCTAAGACTGAGCTCGAGTTGAGGTCACTCATGCAATTCATAGAAATCAATGCATTCTTGTAAATCAGCAAATCATCCAGAAACTCAGTGAGTGCCTGGGAGTCATCCTGTAATTGACCACCATTACCCTCAACAGCCTCGAATAATTTCCCTACAATCATCGAAGGTCTTCCAAACCTTTGACGTGGTATGCTCATAGCCTCGTAGTAGCCCCCTTTTGGCTTCATAAACTTACAGCACTGTATAGCTCTTGAAGCATCTCCAGTGCAATACCTCATCAAATACATCAATTTCAATTCATCACTTAATAAAAAACTACTCAGCATGATCTCAAACTCCTTTACAAACTTTAAATAATCAGCCGGGTTTCCACCAAAACACCGTGGTTCAAATTTAGGGAGTTTGATGTTCCTATTATCTCTGAACGGCGAAACAGTAACATCAACCATGTCATGCTTAACATCAGACACATCGTTACAATTAACAGACAAGTCAACATGACTTACTTTCCTGTTTGGATCCAAGACGCTCTGTCCCTTCTTCGACCCAGGCATTGTTAAACTTGACCCAATTCTAAAAACGTTCCAGATATTGCTTGTTCAAAGAGGACTTGACCGGCACCAGGAAAGATGAACGGTGACTATCCAAACTTTCACCAACCGTCTGAATCCGCCAGAATCTGTTTCTACCGTCAGAAACTGTCAGCCACGCCTCGTAAACCGTTAATGCCCAGCTCTTGCTACGCTCGGGCTCACGCTGTTCCTTCAAGTTTCTCAGAAACGCTTAGTAATAACGGACGAAAAAACCAAAACACCAATTGTTGACTCGAGGATTCTTTATTGTTACACCAACATATAAAATATGTTTCCACTAAGGTCTGTGAACAAATATTACAATAATAAATCACAATATTACTTCTGACGGTTTACTGCTGACTTCTTTCTGAACAGCGACCGATGAGACGATGACTGTCGTATTGATGCCTCCGCGAAAATTGGGGAAGTTGGTTTTGAGCAAACAACCATGAATTGATCGTTCAATCTTCAACTGCATTGACAGAACCTTTAGATTAAAGGTTTTCAGGTTGTCCGAGTTCGCAGTTTAATGATCCGGAAACCTCCATGGGTAGTCCGGGGAAGCACCAATCTGAATTAACAGTCTGCTACAGAAACGCCCGCAGCCTGTTAAATAAAATGACTGAGCTGATTAACATGATAGACTCCGGAAACCCGGATGCAATTATTATCACAGAGACATGGGTCACACCGTATGTCACTGACAACGAAGTTAACCTGCCAAACTTCGAAGTGCATAGGGTGGACCGACCAAACCGCAAAGGAAGTGGCGTAGTCATCTACCTCAAGAAATGCTTAACCGTGCGTAGTATCGAAGCACTCGCTCACGAAAGTGGGTCTTGCAAACTTACACGCTACAGACTTAAATGCATAGGCCAATACATTGACCACGTTGCTGTGTACTGCAGTCCTGACTGCAGTGCAGATGACTTCTTAATATAGAAGCTAGGCTCCTGGACTTCGAAATGTTAAAGGCTCGTAGTCGGCGACTTCAACGCCCCAACAATTGACTGGACGAGCCTACCAACTCCATCTTCACTCAACTCCTTTGATCATAAATTGCTGGGATCCAGTATATTGCTAGCCCTAGTCCAAGATATCATTAAGCCCAAGCGCTATGACTCACGGCACTCCTCCTCAGCTCCGGACCTAGTGTTCTCCCACGGTGAGGATGTGGATCTCATGCAACATCTTCCTCTGTTAGGAAGAAGTGACTATGCTGTGCTCACTTTCAAGTTCACAGCAACGGCAGCAAAAGCCAAAACCCCAGCTCGACCAATCGTCTGGAAAGCTGATATAAATGCAATCGTCTCAGCAGCCAACTCAGTAAACTGGTACACCAACCCAGAGTCCCAAGTAGAAGCCACATGAAACCAATTTAAGCAACTTTACGACCAAGCAACTGAACCTTTCATCCCTTGGTCTGTCCCGAAGGTCAGGTTGGAAACATTGCCCCCCTTGGATAAACCGAGAGATTCGTAAGTTACTCAGACGTAAACACAAATGTTGGAACCTGCTTGCCAAACCTGAGACTTCTGAGACCAGGAAATTACATAACACTGCTAGAAATAAAGCTATTGCAGAAATCCGCCAATCAAGGATGAAGTTCGAGATACACCTGGCCCAAAATGCAAAGGCACAACCTAAGAAAATTTTCTCGTACTTGAATTTCAGGAATAAAACATCCAATGGTGTCCCAAACCTGATTGTTGATAATGATACAATCGACGAAGATCGAGAAAAAGCAGAAGCAATGGCAGATTACTTCTCCCAAGTCTTCACTCAGGAGTCATCACTGCCTATAGGATCAGCTCTGGCTGCATCAGAAGAACATGGGATAGATTCCGTTGACATCGACCAGGGCATCGCGCTCAACTGCTTAATGAAACTAGATGCAGGGAAATCAATGGGTCCCGATAACTTCATCCAAGGCTTCTCAAGGAGCTATCAGCCAACATAGCCGGCCCCTTGACCACAATCTTCAAGCTATCTCTCCTAAATGGAGTGTTACCGCGTGATTGGAAAGACGCCATAGTAACCCCAATCCACAAAGGAGGATCAAGACAAAGCCCTTCAAATTGCAGGCCTATCAGTCTCACCAGCACTTTAATGAAGATACTGGAAAGAATTATCAAGAAAGGCATCATGGCTTATCTGGAAAACAGCAGCTTGTTATCTGGAGCCCAGCATGGCTTCCGGAGGATCCTCTCATGCCTGTCAAATCTCCTCATTGCAAGAGAAAGCTAGGTCAAATCAAAGGACAACAGAAGACCCGTTGACGTCGTCTTCATAGACTTCAGCAAAGCCTTTGATAAAGTACCTCACAAATGACTACTCATGAAATTGGAAAGTCTTGGTATCAAAGGCAGATTACTAAACTGGCTCAGGGAATTCCTCATAGATAGGAGACAGAGGGTTAGAACCAACTCGAAACTCTCCTCTTGGACAGCAGTACGTAGCGGAGTGACACAAGACATGGTACTCGATCCTCTCCTATTTATTCTGTATGTCAGTGAGTTACCTCTGCTCACCGACTCCCCTATGGTCTTATACGCAGATGACTTAAAAATTTGGAGAGAGCTGAAGGACAAAAGTGATACGTTCACGTTACAAGAGGATCTCAACAAATTTTCAGAGTGGGCCGTAGAATGGATGCTCCCGATCAATGTGGCAAAATGTGCAACCATACGCATTGGACAAGCAAGCACAAGCTCCTACGAACTAGAGGGAATAACACTTCTATCAGTTCAGACTCACTTGGACTTAGGTGTCATAGTTAGCCACGACTTAAAAACTACAGCACACTGTCGTGCGTTGGATGCACGTAGTTTCAGGTCCTTATGGACAATTCGCAGAGCCTTTACTAGAATCACCAGAGATATGTTCACCTCCTTATATGCATCTCTGGTGAGGTCAAGACTGGAAAACTGCATCCAGGCCGCCAGTCCTTGTCTAAAACGGGACTCACACATTCTAGAAAGTGTTCAAAGGAAGGCAACACGTATGGTTCACGGCATAGCTAACTTATCATACGACGAAACACTAGACAGTTTAAATCTCTTCTCACTGTCATACCGTAGGCAGAGAGGAGATTTAATCACAATGTTTAAAATTTTAAACAATGACTACGGACCTGACCTATTCTCTTTTTCCTTTCCACCAGATCGGAACACCTTAGAGGACATAGCAGGAGAGTTCAAAAGCCAAAGAGAAATCATGTTGCTGTTGAGTGCTGGTTCTCACATCGAGGCATAAACTCTTGGAACCGACTCTCAGAAGAAGTAGTTTCTGCAACCTCAACTGATTCGTTCAAGAAGGGTTTGGACAACCACAGGAATTTACTAGAAAAGGATTAACATAGGCTCCAAGCCTTCTATCCTCAACCAATAAATCTGAAATCTGAAATGATAGCCTGTCCTTGAGATCAGACATTGAATATTTGCCGGAGGGGGATTCTATGGTGACGATACGTCTGGTAAGGAAATGATTTTGTATTATTCGATTTGTTTAGTTAACAGTACGTTTTTTCCACATGAGACTGTAAGATCTTATGGTCTTTTCGAAGAATAGGGACATACGTGACACTAGAGTAGATAGGCGTAAATGTAAATAAGCGTTGAGGGTATTCACAGTTGTGGCCGCAGGGAGTTTCCGTATATGCATTCTTGTGGTAGATCTTGAAGCATACTACCAATAGTCTCAAGCATGTGATTAGTTAAATGTTGGGGGATTCTAACCACATAAATACCTAAAAGTGTAGTAAATCTAGCACATGTGTGTCGATGATGTATACCCCGTACATATCATTATTAGACCTTTGTAGGTTACGTGAAGTGCTAGAAGTACTTTTTACCCAAATGTGGGCTTTGTGTCATTAAAGAGCGACAGATCGTTGCTCTCTTAATAACTCGTCTGGTATTTTCACACGGTGATATTACTTAGAATATACATCCAATAATGTAATTAGTTTGGTGGCAATATCAAAAGTCATTTTTTAAATTGCCTTTGACACATTCAAAAAAAACGGTTAAGGTATTGATGTACCATAGGGTCCTTCAGTTTGTCTTCTATACGTTTTTTGTAACCGGTAGTTGTTTAAACTGGAGTACATTACTCAGTAAATTTGTACAGATCTTTACAATATGCTGTTTCCATAATTATAGTCTTTATTTACATCAGACTACATGTTTCTCATTATCTTATCTAGCTAAGGTGTTGTGCTGACTGATTTATCAACATAGAAGTCTACATAAAAGGGCACTACTACACTTCGTAATTGCATACATGAAATTAGACAAAATATATATGATGAAACTACGATATGTAAAGGGGAAATAGCGACATAAAGATTGGTGAAAGTTCTCAATATCAGAATGGTGACAAGAAGGGGGATATTCTCCTGATTTATGTCACCAACAACCCCAATCAAGCAATCTACATGTCCGTAAATGGTTCGATGTAGCAGCAAAAGACCTCATAAATATCAGTCTCATAATATAATCGAAGCACTCTTATCTCCATTTCAATCCAGTGGTATCTTATGTAGAGTTAATTGCCTTGGAAAACCTTGTTGGGCATCCATAACGAGTGTTGTAGCTATCCTAATCGATGCAGCTTCATAACCTCATTTAATACTCTAGGACTAGTTTCGTTATCGTATAATGTGTTGGTGTATTTAATTTGAGTACTCGGACTTAGACAGCTATGGTTAGAAATCATTTATCTCTTCCACCTTAAATGACACAGGGATCAACCGTACAATACACATATCTTACGATGAGTGGCAAGATATCATGCCTACACCAAAGATAATGAGAGCTGCTGAGTAGTGACTAACGAGCTTTTTATATTTGTACTATGATTTCGTCAATAACTTCACTCCACTAAGACTGACTCAGCTCTTCAAATAGGTGAAGTAGTCAACACATTTAACCATTTTGATCGTTATCTTTAAACTAAGAGTCAGTGTAGTTCGCCCTTATATTTGACAGAGGTGAATCTCATGTGAAACACTCCTCGAATTTCACTAAAGGTATCCAGAAGACTATTTGTATAGCGTCTTCATTTAGTGATATATATATATATATATATATCATCTATGTGCAGTATACCAACATGGTCGATTTCGAGTATTGACACGTCATTCAAAACACCTGTAATAAAACTAAATAAGGAAAGCGATAGCGTACATTCCTGATGCTTCAGATAATGTCGACTGATTGAGTTTTCAACGTCAAACTTTGTACAGAAGTGCAGCTGTTCAGTGTGGGACACTTTATATAGTATACAAAATAAAAGAAACATTCAAAGGAACTATACAAGGAACAGAAATATACGGGAGAAGAAATAATTACATGTAGAATCAATAGGACGTAATGGACTTGGGAGATTATAAAGAGCGAATGCATCTGTGCCATTGAGAATGATTTTAAGCCACATATCACCAAGAGTCATAAGCCATTAGTGTCTCGAAGACGTTAAATAGGCAGTCTGCACTTCCCTACGTGTAGGTGGCACAGTGGTTAGGACTCTCGCCGACCATGCGCATGGTCCGAGGTTCGATCCCCTGCCGACGCACACCTGATATCTATGGTCAGCCTGCGAAATTTGGGCTACCGATATCCATGCTGAAAATTCCGTACTTGTACCAAAAATACCTTGTGGAATCAAGCTGTAATCAAAAAAATAAAAAATATAGATAATCCATGGATTAGCCTTATATTTTTTACTTGACCACGCTTAACTATTCCAACTCAATTCTATGTTACCTAACATTGTTCGACAAAAAATGTGGTAATCTGGTATGTGTAACGCGGGTTCTTTGTCTCTGTCTGCTTTCGACATAGAATTTTACACCGATGTGCACCAGTCGCCCCACTCCCTCCTTGAGCTTACTGTCCGGATTAACTGAGGTACTAGGCAGCGTCTGGGAATCAGAAGAAGTCCCATCGGGTTGGTGTAAGTCACTGATTATCCCCATATACAAGAAGGGAGACAAGTCTTCCTGTGATAATCACAGAGGGATTAGCTTGACTAATATAGTATCTAAAGTCTTAGGCTCAATAATCATGCGTAGACTGAGTGGTGCTCGGGAAGCACAAACACGAGAGAGCCAGGCAGGCTTTAGACCAGGAAGAGGGTGTATTGATCATATCTTCACCCTCCGACAGATTCTAGAACATAGGCATTCCTACCGGCGTCCAACAGTCATTATATTTCTTGACCTAAAGGCAGCATTCGACTCTGTCGATCGGGAAGTTCTCTGGAGATGCTTGGCTGTAAAGGGAATTCCAAGAAAATATATTGCACTGATTAAGGCACTCTACTCGTACTCATACAGCCAGGTGAGGGCTTACGGCGAGCTGTCATCTGAACTGGTGACGACCAGTGGTGTCCGTCAAGGATGCCCATTATCCCCTTTTCTATTCAACTTCATCATAGATGTGTTAATGGACTTAACCCTAGGTGACTTCAGTGACTCAGGAATTGACTTGCTACCGGGGAATAATCTCGTTGACTTGGAATATGCAGACGATATAGTCCTTCTAGGCGAAGACGCTGACAAAATGCAGAGTCTTCTAAACACCTTGAGCCGCAATCTACGAATGTTTGGCATGCGATTCGCTCCCGCCAAATGCAAGATGATGTTACAGGACTGAACTACATCGACGCCTAGTTTCAAAATAGGAAGTGAAGTGGTAGAGCACGTTGACCGCTTCACTTATTTGGGAAGTACCATCAGCCAGGCCCAACGGGCTGATCTCTGACGAAATCTCAGCACGAATACAAGGGGCTCGTTTCGCATTTGTTAGTTTACGCCGACTCTGGCGTAGACGAGATGTTCGACTATCGACCAAAGGGCGGGTGTACTGCTCATCAGTCCGCTCCGTCCTCCTTTATGGTTGGGAGACCTGGCCACTGAGAGTGGAAGACATGAAAAGACTAGCTGTCTTTGATCATAGGTGCCTGCGTTCTATTTCCCGTGTAAAGTGGCATAATAAGGTGAGCAACATTGAGGTTAGGCGTAGAGTTCTAGGTAAACGGGGGAAATCAATCGACGAAGTCGTGAAGCTACAAAGACTGAGATGGTTAGGACATGTGTTACGTATGCCAAGCCATCGCCTCCCTCGACGAGCAATGTTAGCGGATATAGGGTGAGGCTGGAAAAAAGCTAGCGGCGGTCAAACAAAAACTTGGCATCAGTCAATGAAATCCACAACAGTTGGTCTAAGCCACGTAGAAAGGTGTAGACTTCATAGCTGGTTGGGGTCCTCGGGACGGTAAAAATCTATGGTTGGAAACAATTGGTGACATGGCTCAAAACCGTTCTCAGTGGCGCAGATGCATCCACTCCTTGTGACTTATGATCTTCAATGAAACTGTTTTGTATTTCTTTATTACTCCTTTGTCTCACATCTCTGCTCACTGTTTCTATTATGCTTTTCTTGTACTTTCTTCTCTTGCTTCGCGTGCTACACGGAATGTGGCGACTTGAACTTCCGCACATTTGTGCAAAGTTCTATGTCGAAAACAGACAGACAGACTCCCTCCTTGTAGCACACAAACAAACAGAAGAAAGTAGGAGAAATGCACGACAGCGACAGTAAACAGAGGTATGAGACAAAGGAATAGTAATAACGAAGAACAATATAGTTTTTTTGGAAATCATAATTCATAAGGAGCGGATGCATCTGTGCTAGCCATTGAGAACGATTTTGATCCATATCATCGATTGTCTCCAGCCGTCACTGGTTTTTGGCATCCTGAGGACCCCACCAGTCATGAAGTCTACACCTTCCTATGTGACAGACTGGCTGGCTTAAACTAACTGTCGGGACTTCATTGACTGATGAAGCCATGTTTTAGTTTGACCACCGCTATCTCTTTTCCAGCCTGACCCTATGCCAGCTAACATATCCCATTGTAGAGGAAGGCGATGGCTATGCGGGTCCTAGCAATCTCAATCGACGCAGCTCCTGACTGATTGATTTTCCCTCCTTACCTAACACTACATCTATTCTCAGATGATAAATCTTTTAATTTTTATAGCAGTTTAAATCAGACTACTTATTTACTGCAATTGTGTTTTGTTATTGTCATCTAGGCTTAACAAACATTATTGAAGTATTGTAATGGTTTGTTCACCTGGTTCTCAAAGATCTGTGAGCAGGGGTACAGTTCACAGTCGTAGTAGAAGTCGTAGTCAATCTAGAAGTGGTAGTATTCAACGAAGTTATACACATTCTAATCATAGTCGGTCGCCAAGCAGATCATTTTCAAGACACAGTTCTCATTCTCATCGAAGTGGTAGATCAGGAAGTCGTTCTCACTATTCTCGTTCTCGATCACATTCTGATCATCGGCATTCCAGATCATGGACTAGATCACGTTCACGTACGCGCGATAGATCCGCGTATTCTTCACGTTCAAGATCAGTTAGTCGTTCAAGATCAAGGTCTAGTTATCGTGGTAGTCGAAGAAAATCATTTTTCAGAAGTAGATCACGGAGTTGTTCATATCATTCTGATGCACCTTCACGGTCTCGATCACATACACCCGCTTCAAGAAATGTTTCGCCGAGTAGTAAAGGTGGTAGAGATCCAAGAGATCGTTCAAAGCGTGCACAATGGACAAATAATGTAAGTGATGATTGTAATATTTATTTTGTATTAACTAACTTGTTTTTCATGTGTGTAAAACTACTTTGTGTTAATTACTAGAACACAAACTTGGCACATTGTGAGCACCGATAGATGCCCCACACAAAATGGAGCAATGGACCATGGAGCGATTACTTAGCAACGGCGAACACCTCCCACAACAATCGAAAATGCAACACACAAGCTGGATGGAATGCATAAACCTATGCCTAACAACGTACTTCCAATTGAACGGCCAAATATATATGAACAAGTAAAAGAAAACCCATGGGATCTGTAATATCAGATTTGATTGCAGAAGCAGTGGTGCAAAGGCTCGAAAACACAATCCTACCAAAGATCAAACCCAAGATTTTGATAAGTTACGTAGACGACACATTCAAAAGAAACGGGGTAGATAAAACTCACAACTTAATAAACGACAACTTCGTACCTGCATGTTCACCAGACGTCCTACTTCATTCTCTTACTTTTGTGATGAATACTCGCCGCGTGAATGCAGTGAATAGGACTTATCTGGCACAGATTATGAACGCGTGGTGACATGATGGGATTTCAAGAGGGAAACTGAAATATACCAACCCTTGGCAGTACCAGGTCATTTATAGGAACACTATTACAGTGTTACAAAATCTTCCTCGCTATTATTTTACAATCACAACATGTATAAAATGAAAATTAATGATGTTCGCTGTTAGTGATATTAAAATGTTTTCTAATTTTGATTTGGTTGTATTCTCTGAGCTGATTGATTTAATTCTAAAGCTTTCATCCGTCTGGGAAGCTTCAACGCAGGCGTTAATTATGAAATGAACTTATTGAAATTCCACATGGATGGTATAATTGTATCGCCTGACAACGACTGCCGTGATTATTTGTTAATTTACGTCTCTATTGATCATTTTTAAAATGACGTGGTATTTGAACTTTGTTGTCATGTGATTTATTTTTTATCATTATGTTATTTTCCGATGTAAACGAAAGTTAAATGATGCTGTTGGTTCCTATGACCCTTGCAAAATTGATAACACTGATACAGAAATCAAGTCTAAAGTTAAGTATCTTGGATTAATTCTTTCCTCTGACCTATCCTGGTCTTCCCATGTCTTAACGATTTATAAAATAATATTTCGTCTGACTTTTTACATTAGGAAGTTGAGGCACTCAGGCATAACTCAACCAACGCCTCTTCTTACAGTTTGTCAACTCGTGTATTTTACCTATTCTTCTTTACTGTTCACCCTTATTCTTTCCTGGATTGCTTAAAAAAGACTATGTCATACTTCGTAGAACTCTCAAGACTGTTAATAGGACGAGTGGTGGTATCCCACTAAGCCATATCGTTGACATTGTCACTGAAAGGCACTTGATGTCATGCAACAAATTTGCTAAAGGAATTTTGTCAGACTCTGAGCACCCACTCTACCCTCAGCTTCAACTTTGTGTCTCCTCAGGTAAAACAAGAAGTCTTTTGAGAAGACTTTATGCACAGTTGTCTATGTATAAAAATTCCACTATACCATACTTCGCTGCACGTACTTTATGTGATGAAAATAGAGTCAGGCATGAACTAACTAACATTCTTTGCACTACTAAATAAACCATTTTACTCCACCCTTGTAGTACCAAACTTTATTGTTATTGTATTTCTTATATTTATAATCCTTTCAATTTTTTGTTTTCGCTTATTTTTTCCATAAGTGTGAACATCATTTAAGCTGTGTGAATAACTGTTAATTGTGTATTTCACCTCACTATACTATATCAACAGAATATTAGATTCAATAATCGAAATTAACATGCTAAGATTTCCAAAATGAATCAGCGATACTGTTTGAAACAAACTCACTGTTATTATTATTAATATTTAATGATCTCAATTCGTGCTTAGAATATTTTTGACTTTATATCGTAAGCGTGAGCAAATTCCTCTGGTTACTTTTGTTTTAATTTTTAATTTTATTTATATTTTGAGTAAATCAGATGCAATATTGTGACAAATGCGGAGAATTCCATTCTGTATTATAAGTACTGCTTTTGGAATAAAGTAAAAATAAATTATTAATTATTATTATTCCCTTGAGTTTCGAGCGGAATATAGGGCTTCAACAACACCCCCCCCGACTTAGTTCTGTTTTTCCGCTGTCCTCTTCAGATAGGCCCACGACTGGCCATAATCTCTCATCTACTTCTTCAACTCACACGACCTCCTCCATGTCACCCTCACACTGACGTCCCACTCGTCGCTTCCCATTTGAATTCCACTCGAATAATGTCCTGCATTGCGCGTGATGTCATTCGACGGCCTCCTAAGTCGCGTATGCCCAATCCATCTCCATTTTCTGCTACATATTTGTTGAGCAGTTGGCTCTTAGTTGATATGTTCCATTGCAGAGTTTCTCGTTGCCAATTATCTCTTTCTGGTCATTTGATCTTCAGTATTGGAGCCAGCGAGGCGGTCAGCTGTGTTGATAAAAGTCTGAAGTAGTCTGTTGGAAATCCTTGTCGTGACTGACACGCAGTACAAGTTTTTGACAAGTATAGAAGAACTGACCGACCGACTTTACATTTGTGTTTAAAATACCAATCTTGTTGTTTAAGCTGAGTGACTGACAGGAGAAGATTTCTAAACTGGTTTCAGGTTGGTGAAGGCGTATCTTGCATTTCCGATTCTGACTGGCTGGCTGGCCTTGACATCTTCATCCGTGCTGTCGCCTGTGGTTGAAACTGTGCTTCTTAGATAAATGAAGGAAGTTACCTCTTTGATGGGGATTGATTGTGGTTGTGGTTGTGGTTGATTGGTTGGTTATCTTCATCACCTCCGTCTCTGTTTATGTTCACCTGCAGTCGTGTCTTCGCTGCCCTAGCCTGCCTATCCTGTTAGTTTTTTGTTGGTTTTCTCTTACAAGTCTTCGATTTTGTGCGACACTAGACATATATCGTCCACATGCGAAATCCAGATCTTCTAGAGTCTTCTTGTCGGTGGTCTGGCGTATTCCTGTCCTCTTACTCCTTGTACACAGTTTGACGCATAATCCAGTCCGCCAAAATTAAGAATATCATCGTGTGTGATACTAGTCAGCCTTATTATTTTAATATATATATATATTTTTTAATAGTTGGTAAATATGGTCTATAGTAGTATGTTTGTTAATCGCTGATTAACAACTAATCTGTCTGTCTGTTTTCGACATAGAACTTTGCACCAATGTGCGACAGTTCAAGTCGCCACACTCCCTCCTTGTAGCACACAAATCAACAGAAGAAAGTAGAAGAAATGCACAATAAATAGAAACAGTAAACCGAGGTGTGAGACAAAGGAATAGTAATAACGAAGAACAATATAGTTTCATTGGAAATCATAAGTCACAAGAAGTGGATACATCTAAGCCAGCCAGCCATTGAGTACGATCACTTTGAGCCATATCACCAATTGTTTCCGACCATTGGTTTTCACCGTCCCGAGGACCCCAACCAGTCAAGAAGTCTACACCTTCCTACGTGGCTGGTTGGTTTAAACTAGCTGGCGATGACTAGGCATTCATGCGTAACACATGTCCTAACCATCTCAGTCGATGTAATTTCACAGTCTCGTCGATTGATTTCGCCTTCCACCTACCTAACACTCGACCGATGCCTAACCTCAATATTGCTCACCTGATTATACCATCTCACAACAACTAATCACGCCAGTGGTTGTCAGGAGTTACAATTTTATCATTCATATGAAATTCAAATAAGTTCAGATATGATAGAGAAGATTTGTAGCTCAGGTGGATGATTTTGATGTGGTTTTGTTCTCTGAGCTGGATGGTTAGTTTGCGAAGCTTTCATCACCTTACTGGGTGACATCTTCAGCGCATACTTCAATTTGAAGTCTAAATAATTTTTCCTTCACGTTCCCAGTGGAACATAGGGCTCCAAGCTAGTGGCTTGAAGTTTCTGTAGCAGTGTTTAATTTTTACAGGATGGGGTTGCTAGCCTCATGCCCAACCTTTCCTCTTTACCAGGATTATTTCTGGCTCAGTGAGGTAAAGGAGTGCGCCGGCCGGGGATCGAACCCCGAACCATATGCATGGTCGGCGAGCGTGCTAACCGCTATACCACCGACGCACTAAGATGTCACCCAGTAAGGTGATGAAAGCTTCGCAAACTAACCATCCAGCTCAGAGAACAAAACCACATCAAATAAGTTCATTTCGCACACTGAAATCTGCTTTAAAGATATTCTGTAGAAGGAAAAGAAAGCTTCGCAATTAAATCAGCCAGCTTGGAGGACACAACTAAATTAAAATCACCCACCTAAGCGACAAATCTCCAATCATAGAAGTGAGAAGTTCGACAATATCATCAGTATGTTTACCCAATAAATTGGTATATATATATATATATATATATATATATATATATATATATATATATATATATATATATATATACTGCATTTACAGCACTATTCGCCAGCAGTACGGTTCCCCCTTTAGACCCACACCATATTGTAAGCTACTTCTACTATGGTGGTAAATTCCTTTAGTGTAATCTGTCTGTCCTATCAACATTTCTGGAATGGCAGGCCACGCAGAAACATTTAGCTTCAGCTGGTGTAGCTGGTTGGATCTGCGCGAAATGTATTTATGACCATCACATTATTGTTGCAGGTATCGTAAGAGTAGAATTTCGGCACTGTGGTAGGATATAATTTCATGTTAGATGTTTGTCTGATATTATAACAAAGCAATATATAGTGTTAATAACTAGATGAACACATAAAGTAAGCACGATCTGATTACACGATTTGTTGGAATATTCAAACATAGAAACTTGCTTAGGGTGTGTCGGGACTTGGTATCAGAATAGAAAATCGTTTCACATGCCTGAAACTGGATATTTTAATTATGATATTATTATTATTTCCTTTAATTTTTAAAGGAACATAGGGCTTCAGCTGCACGTCTCCTTTGCGTTCGGTTCTCTGCTAGAGTTTTCACCTGCTTCCAGGTCTGCCCACATGTTTTCATCTCCTCTTCACATCACCTCCTCCAAGTCACCCTTGCACTGACGACCAACTCGCCGCTTCCCTTTCAGGTTCCACTCGAGCGATGGCTTGTCTAGTGATGTCACTTGATGGTTTGTTCCCTCAGAGTATGGTCAATCCATCTCCATTTCTTCCTGCTTATTTGTTTCACAATCGGTTCCTGGTTAGTTCGCTCATTGCCAGAGATCCCTGTTGCTGATCTTTTCTGGTCGGTCATCTGATCTTGAGTAATATTGGGCGAAGGCAGCTGTTGATGAAGGTCTGTAGTTTGTTTGAGGTGTTCTTTATGACGCGCAGTGCAAGTCTCTGATCCGTATGGTGAGTAGCACTGACTTCACATTGGAGTTGGAAATCCGGATCTTATTTTTCAGCTGAGTAGTGCTGTTGACTTCCACACAGACTTGAGAGTAATGAAGGCTTGTCTTGCTTTTCCGATTCTGGCTTTGATATCCTCGTCAGTTCCGTCCGCCTGTAGTTGAAAAGATGCTTCCCAGGTAGGTAAAGGAGGTTGCTTCTTTCGGATTTCTCCCATTTATGCTGATTGTTGTCTGTTGTTGTTGCTATTGATGTTGGCCAGGAATCTTCATCACCTCTGTTTTATCTATGTTCACCTGAAGTCCTATCTTTGATGCTTCTTCTGCCAACTTGTTGCTTTTCACTTGCATATCTTCCAGTTTGTGGGAAATCAGATATATATCATCGGTGAAGTCCAGATTCTCCAAGTTTTTTGTGTGAGTTCATTTTATGCCTGTTTCCACGTTGTCCGCTGTCTGTTACATTATCCAATCTGATGCAATCAGGAAAATCGTTGGCGATAGTAGGCAGCCTTGCATAGTTAGGAAACTGCCTACCATGTGTTGCAAATAAAATGGACATCAACAATCGAGGACTTAACATAAAACATTCTAGGGCCTACATTTTGTGAATTGTGTCTGCTGGCACAAGCATATTATTTAGCAGATTTATAAAACTCTCGACCAATAGTGGGATAGCTTGTTTCACACAGCAGTCGGTGCCTGCTGTAGGTAGTCGATGTATATTCTAAAATAGATAAGATTCTTTGTGCAGTGTTTTGGGAAACTACATACAACCAACCACTGGATGCCTGCTATTCTTGACGCTTTCCAGTGAATGAAGGGGAGATAGCCAAAGGATAAACATATGATAGAGAAGATTCGTAGCACAGGTGGATGATTTTGATGTGCTTGTGTTCTCTGAGCAGCTGGATGGTTTATTTGCGAAGCTTTCATCACCCCACTAGACAACAAACATCTTCAGCGCATACTACAATTTGAATTGAAGTGAGCTTTTAGATTTCTCCACGAGTTTATTAATCGTCTCTCTTGGTGGGTGACCTTGGACTTGATTGGTTGTTTTTGTGTGTTTTCACACCTTCTAGGCTACTTGTATTGATATTAGTGTTGATTGTTTCTTTGACTTGAACTTTGACCTTTTGTGTGTGAGGTAAATTGTAACAACTGCGAAAAACACTACATTGAATAAAGTGGACGTTCCCTTCTTCTTCGTATCCGCGAACATAAGCTAGCCGTCAAAAGACGTGATATCCACTCCCTCATATATCTCTCTGCATACACACAACCACGGACATCAATTCGACTGGGACAACCAGCGTTCAAACATGAGACAGAGGAAACAACAAGAATGCTAGAGGATTTTTAGAAGGCTGCCTGGTATCCCAGTAAATCATCAATCAATAGACACATCGAGATAGACAAAGTTTATCAACCGATAAGAAAGAAATCCCCCACACACAAAGGCGCAAAGTTCAAGTAAAAAAACAATCATTCCCCATGCAAGTAATCTAGAAGATGGGAAAACACACAAAAACAACCAATCACGTCCAAGGTCATCCACCAGGAGAGATGATTAATAAACTCGTGGAGAAATCTAAAAGCTCACTTCCTCGAATTGAAGTATGCGCTGAAGATGTCGCCTAGTAGGGTGATGAAAGCTGTGCAAATTAACTACCATCCAGCTGCTCAGAGAACACAACCACATCAAAAAGGATAAAGAATTAGTACCTTGTTTCTCTTGCGTTAGGGAAGCGTATATAGATCAGCAGGCATCAATCCATAAAATCCTTGACAGTTAAACTGAGTCAGGTAGGGAGATGCAGACTCCCGGGTTGGGGCCCTCGGGACTCTAGAAATCAATGGCTGGAGACAATAGGTGACATGGCTCAAAATCGTTGTCAATGGCGCAGATGTATTCAGTCTCTGTAATCTTTCATATTCCTGTCTACCATTACCCATTCTGTTTCACTCTTATACTTGTCAAACTCTATTGATTCTCTTCACTCATCTTCTTGTCTACCTCTGTGTGGTATTTGGAACGTGGCAACTGTAACTGCTGCACTTCGGTGCCAATTTCTATGTTGAATCCAGACAGACAGACAGATCAGCAGAATGTAAAACTTGTAGCGCATGAATTTCGGAAGGTTTTAAAGAGTCCTGTTAGGGACCTCTACATAAATCAAAGGAATCCCTCCACAATGATTGGTTATGTCCCCACTGAGATTGGAACCCCGTCCCCGTGACATAAAACTGCAAAATTTTATTTACTAGGTCAAGAGAACGTCTCTCTTTCGTAATGGACGTGGTTTCAAGTTATTGATTCATGGTTTTGTAATATATATATATATATATATATATATATATATATATATATATATATATATATATATATATATATATATATATATACATTCAAGTAATTTGTTTCCTTCAAAACCTGTTTTCCATCTCTTTTCTAGATCTGGTTAGTTGGTGAAAAAGCCAAGGATACAGTATTCCATTTCTGTGATATATGCGATTTACCGATTGTCATCTACGGACGACTTGTAAGTAGTTGGTTTTGTGTACTTTTTCCCCCTTCAACTTGTAATCGTCTCGATTATTATAGAGGCTTTTTTGTGCTTCCAAGTGAATGAAAAAAGAACTCCCTACAAGCCAATACTTCATAACCAATATAGTGCTTACTGGTGGTGACTCACTACAGGATGAAGTTCCCAGAAGTTCTGGTGGGAAGTTGTGATCATTGGGATTCACTAGATTGGGGTGTGTGGAGACAGATACTCACCGGTGACCATTGGTTGGCATTTGCGCCCCCAAATCTCGAATTAAAAGAATCTACATTTTTTTTTTGGTTGAACACTTGTCAGTAACTAGTACAGTATGTCTAGTCCTATCTTTGGCTCAAACTGAATTCTATTAGTCAAGCTTGCAATGTGGCCAGGTGGTGCATTGTGAGTTGTTGGTATTAAATGGTTGGGAGCAATCGGCTGGAAGTCCCGCTCGACTTATGTTTCGGGTGTGTTGGCTGTCACCAGTCAGCGAAGCGTATCTGAAACCCCGAAGGAATTCATGTCGCCTCTGAGATTCGAACTTGCGTCATCTAGTTCTGCAGTCAGAGACGTTACCACTGAGCTATTCAGTGTGCACCGCAAAAAGGACTAGACACATTATACTAGTTACTGACTAGTGTGCAATCAAAAATATTCAATACAGTCCTACGGGGGAGGTCATTCGCGAGCCCAAATAGCTGGCTTAGTGGTTAACGTCTCTGACTGCAGTCAGTACTCACTGGGTGACACGGTTTCGAGCCTCAGAAGGGAAATGAGTTGTGTTCCTTCAAGGCTGCAAATATGCCACGGTGACTGATGAAAGTGCCAACTAGCACAAAATCTAGGTCAAGGAATACTTCCTGCCGATCGATCGCTTCCAACCATCTAATGCCAGGAATCCAAATTATCTGATGAATAGAAATGATGGATTCAGACAGAATTTCAACTGTCTGTCCTGTCATCCTTCCTCCTGCCGCAAGGCAGTTTCATTATCTAGATTTTACTAGGTGTTTATGTTCGGCCTGTTCTACTAGTTTGACCGATGTATTTGACCTGATAATCATTGTAGGCGGGGTACTAGATAAACTAAATTGTTTTGTTTTAAAGGCTCCACAGGATCCTTCAACCGACAAAGCCCGTTTCTAATTGAGTTTGTGAGTGGTGTGAATTTCAGTCACTTTTATTCCTGCCAGCATTGTTAAGAATTCTGCGTAAGGTGGTTTCCGAGGTTTCTTCCTTGTATGTTACTAATTTTTTTTTTACCACCCTAACGACAAACCTGTCACTTAGTTTTCTGGAAACTTCTAACACTATATATATATATATATATATATATATATATATATATATATATATTACTACTGCGAAGAAGCTACTAGCAGTGTATTAAGTAATACAACTTCAGTAATAACAGTAATAACATCGTTGTTTTCATCCATTCATTCATGTAACCAAGAAGGTCCTGAGTTCGAACCCCGGTGGGTGCGTACTGATGAAGAGTCCCAAACTCCCTGCAGGTTTTCCAATGGTTCTCTAACTGATGTCAGCTCATGATGATATCCTTCATCCAACTAAACAAAATCCCTACAACACAACCGATACTTGAAAATACAAAAATATATTTTATAATAATGATTGTCATATGTTTGTAGGGGTTTGTTTGTTTCAAGATTAGTCATGGGTTGATAATCATTTAGAGAGAACCATTGAGAATCACCTGTGAGTACGACTGGGCAACTGTTTCATCCTAGTTTAGGACTTTGTAGCTAGCGGCGTACACCCACGCCATGCCACTCGACCAGAGATCGAACTCGTAAGCTTCAAATTGCGAGATCAAGCTAGTTGGCTATTCAGTCATCTGGGTCAGAATTCAATAATCCGTGAATTCTAACACAGCCATCCCCCACATTCGACCCGGTGGAGCTCACTGATGAAGAGTCTCAGTCTAGGACGAAACAGATGTCTGGCGGCAGTACTCCCTGCTGTTTTTCAATAGCTCTTTAACTGATGTCAATCTGTGATTTCATATACCCCATGTCCAAATTGTTTTTTGTTTTTTCTTTGAAACTATTATAAATATATTGAACATAAATGAATATACCTCGAATCATTTCTTTTGCATTTTATTTTAGCTTCCGTGTAAACATGTTCTGTGTTATACATGTGCAATGAATATAATGAATAAATGTAAAAGGTAGATAATGAATGCTTTTTCTGTTGCATGGCATACCTATAAGTGTTCTATTCTGTGTTGTTTTTGTTTTTTCCTCGTGTGTGTGTATGCGTGTGTATTTGGATTTCGTCTGATTTTTAAGTACCATTTTGCAGGGCTTACGGCGAGTTGTCATCTGAAGTGGTGACAACTAGCGGTGTCCGTCAGGGATGACCATTATCCCCATTTCTATTCAATTCCATCATAGATGTTCTGATGGACTTAACCCTAACTCACTTCAGAGACACACAAGACTTGTTACCGTCAGGAAATAATCTCGTTGACTTAGAATATGCAGACGATATAGTCCTTTTAGGCGAGGACGCTGACAAAATGCATACAGGATCTTGTAAACACCTTGAGGAGCTGTAATCTACGAATGTTTGATATGCGATTAGCTCCCTTTGTCAAATGTAAGGTTATATTACAGGACTGGACTACACTGACTCTAAGTTTAGAAATAGGGAGTGAATTGGTTGGTTGAGCGTGTTGACCGCTTCACGTATTTGGTGAGCACCATCAGCCAGTCCCAACGGGTTGATCTCTGACGAAATCTCAGTACGGATACAGACGGCTAGTTTCGCATATGCCAGTTTACGCCGTCTCTGGCTTAGTAGACGTGATATCCGGTTGGCTGTCGACTAAAGGGTGGGTGTGCTGCCCAGCAGTCCGCTCCGTCCTACTTTATGGCCATTGAGAGTGGAAGACATGACATGTCTTCAATCGTAGGTGCCTGCGTTCTATCTCCCTTGTGAAGAGGTATAATAAGGTGAGCAATATTGAGGTTAGGCATCGGTCGAGCGCTAGGTAGGTGGGAAGGGAAATCAATCGACGAGGCTGTGAAGTTACAACGTCTGAGATGGTTAGGACATGTGTTACGCATGCATTCCTAGTCATCGCCTTCCTCGACAATGGGATATGTTAACTGACACAGGGTCAGACTGGAAAAGATCTAGCGGCGGTCAAAGGAAAACTTGGCCCCATCACTCAATGAAATCCACAACAGTTAGTTTAAGCCAGTCACGTAGGAAGGTGTAGACTGCCTGAGTGGTTGGGGTCCTCGGAAGGGTAAAAACCAATGGTCGGAAACAATCGGTGATATGGATCAAAATCGTTCTCAGTAGCTAACGCGGATACATCCACTCCTTGTTACTTATGATATCCAATGAAAGTATGTTGTTCTTCGTTACTACTATTCCTTTGTCTCACGCCTCTGTTTACTGTCTCTATTATGCATTTCTTCTACTTTCTTCTGTTGATTTGTGTGCTACAAGGAGGGAGAGTGGCGACTTGAACTGTCGCACATCGGTGCAAAGTTCTATGTCGAAAACAGGCGGACAGACAGACGGCCATTTTGCAGGCAGATTTGTTTGATTTCAAGAGAAACATTAGAAAGCATCAAGGAAGTACCGGACAGTGTTGTTTCGTTACAGCTTGTGACTTGTCATCTGTCGGTCTCAGTGATCGCTCCTCCTCCATCCAGAGATCGTACACAGGACCTGAACAGTAAGACACTCGGACGGAATTCATTGGGCGATCGTCAGCCAATATCATATCGAGTATTTGTTGTCACAACACCCTACTTGTGTTATAACTGTAGGGAATTGAATGAAGACGTTTTCACCTTGCTCTGTCTGCGCCTGAACTAATCTGCCTATCTGCTCGTCGTACCTTCCGATTTAGTCAAGCACGCAAATATCAAAAGACAAAGGCTGGACTGTGACTGTGTATTGAAGTGCAACAACGACAAAGAAAGCCATGGTATTTATACATTTTACAACAATATGGACAGCTAACGGCATTTGAAATAATTGATCTTAATAGCCAATAACAAAGTGCGTGAGAGATGATAATATACCATATGTGCGAGATTGACAGTCAATAACAAAATGTGTGGGAATGATAATATACCATATATGCAAGATTAACAGTCACTACCAAAATGTGTGGGATCCTATCAACTTGATAGTGAGCGTTGCTGGTCAATACCTCTCACTAGGACTCCAGATATGGGGCTGTTGGCATGTTCTGATGAAGAGTCTTGATTTAGGATGAAACAGCCGTTCAATACTTTCTGGTTTATTGTCATATAAAGTTCGCTAGACCAGCATAAAGTTTAGCGTTACTATATATTTAGTTTTATTTATCGATTAATTGTTGGGAAATTATGCGTGATTTTGGCACCGGAGAATGTATTTACTGGTACTTTTTGAAAAAAATAAGTTCCGATAGCCACTTATTGTGTGTGTGTGCATGTGTGTGTAGTGGCTAGCGGCACTATTCATTCACCTTGGAGGGAAATGAATAGAGCGGGAGACGAATGTAATATTAGGCTTTCGATCACTGATGGGCTGTGTCTGTCCTTTAATTCCTGTGAAATATAACACAGGAAGACCTGAATAGTCTAACTATCTTTAACCGTAGATGATTACGCCTTATCCCTGTGTTAAATGGTGTAATGTGATGGGTAATATTAAGTTTAGACGTAAAGTGTTTGTTAAGTGGGGGCTGGGCGGACAAGTTAACTGATGCAGTTGTAAAGCGACATCAATTGAAATGGCTAGGAGATGTGTGTTAGGTATGCTAAACCATCGCTTTCCTCGTCAAACAATGTTAGCTGACACATAGGATTAAGTTAGAAAAGATTTAGAGGAGAGGAGGGATGATGATTAAATCGAAATCTATCGTCAGTTCACTAAGTCGTTAGGTGTTGGCTTAAGTCAATCGTGTAGGGAGGTGCAAACAATCTGTTTGTGGGGGTCTTCTAGACGCTAAGAATCCCTGACTGTAGACTCTTGTTGATAAGGCTTAGGATTGTTCTCGATGGCGTAGAGATGCGTTCACTCTCGGCAATACCTCCAAGATCCATTACTTTTCATTCTTTGTGAATTTCTTCCTTACCTTTCTGAGGTATATATGGAGTGTGGTAGGTCTGAATTGCAACAACACTTCTGTGCAAAGTTCTACTTTGAAACTCAGTCGGTTACGTTAAGCATTCGAATCCGGAGCCCATCCATTCGAGGATAGCTGAGTGCTTAAACCATCACTGAACTGCATTCATTCATTGGATACTTAGATTTTCAGAGGGTGGTTGAAAACGTTTTCGTTTCGTATTGTTTATATTTTGTTTTTTATTATAATATCTGAAAATGTCTTATATTTTGATGTGGTTGTGTTCTCTGAGCTGGATAGTTAATTTGCGAAGCTTTCATCAACCTACCAAGCGACATCTTCAGCTCATACTTCAATTTGAAGTGAACGAACAATCACAGGGGAATTAGAAACTCAAGTTTATAGGAAACCAACTCACAGAGACCAAATACTGAATTACAACAACAACAATCCAATAACACACAAAAGGAATTGCATACAAACACTATTCAAGAGGGCCATCCAAGACTCATTGCAGCACTCCCACCTTAAGGAAAATTGAAGAAAGATATCTCATGGACGTCTTCCAAAAGAATGGATATCTACGGAATTTCATCAAAAGACATATACCCCCAAGCTAACCTATCCAAGCAAAAGTACCCAAAGAAAGCACAAAGAAAATCACCTTACCATATATAAAGGATATCTCAGAAATCACTACAAGACTCTTCAAACAACTTTAGGAATTGACGTCGTACACAAACCAACAAAGTCACTTCACTCAATTCTATGTCAACCAAAAGACTCAACAGCGAAAGAAGATAAAACCAACTTCCCCTTCGTCTTCATATCTACGAATATAAGCTAGCCGTCAAAAGACATGACATCTATTCCATCATTCATATCACTACATACAGATAACCACGAACATCAGTTCGAATGGGACAATGTTCAGAGGACAGAGAAAACAACAAGAATGCTAGAGAACTTTTGGAAGCCAACCTGGTATTTCAGTGAATCGTCAATCAATAGACACATCAAGATAGACAAAATTTATCAACCGATAAGAAAGAAACCTCACACACACACGTAGGGTCAAAGTTCAAGTCAAAGAAACAATCAGTTCCAATACAAGTAGCTGCCTAGAAGGTGTGAAAACACACAAAAACAACCAATCACGTGCAAGGTCACTCAGCCAGGAGAGATGATTAATAAACCCGTGGAGAAATCTAAAAGCTCACTTCAATTCAAATTGAAGTATGCGCTGAAGATGTTTGTTGTCTAGTGGGGTGATGAAAGCTTCACAAATTAACTATCCAGCTGCTCAGAGAACACAAGCACATCAAAATCATCCACCTGAGCTACAAATCTTCTCTATCATATCTAATGTCTTATATTGCTATATTTTTCTTTTTCTATTAGATGCCAAAAATCTGTACAGACTGTTGAACGTTGTTTAGTTGGTGGAATATTCATGTGTTTCGAGAGTGATGCCTGTCGGCGTACTTATCTTAGTCAACGTGATCTACAAGCGCATATTGATCATCGTCATCGAACTGGATTAACCAGTGGAAACGGTGGTGTTACAGTCACTACAACAGCTAACAACAATAGTAATGATAATAATAATAATAATAGTAATAGCAATACTAATACATCAATGTCGGAGACTATCATTTCTGTTACTAGTCAACAAATGAATTTCTCAGATGGTGGAACATCTCTACTTCCTGGTGGTGTGAAGACAACAGCAACACCAACCAATAGCCATACGGTAACGACAACCATACCTATGCTAGATAAGATAACAGTTTCCAATGCTCAAATGTCTTTGTTAGGCCCATCACCAAGAATGATTATGAATACAATGATTCCACCAAATTGTACAACAACTCCACCGAATATTTTTATTAATAGTCAAAAAAGTGGTGGACTTTTACCATTGCCGCCTACACAAACTACACTACCTGTTGCCGTCTCTTCATCATTACTTCATTCGACAAGACCTCCTATGCCCATGCCTAGTGCTGCCGGTTCATCTATTGGCATAATGAATCGACCGGCTGGAATAAATAATCCCTCTGTTATTGGAAGTAATAGTAGTGGTGGTGGTAACCCTATTGGCCCTGGTAATTTCCCACATCTTCAATCATTCGCTAATTGTCCTCCACCGACAATGCAACCATCATCTCAACCTATAGGTCGACCAAATATGCCACTACCCCAACCAGCACCACCGTCAACATTTCTGGCTAATTCACTTCCAGGCGGGCAGTTGTCGTCGTCGACACATAATCAAAATTTCAATGGTGCTTCTGCAGTGGCTGCTTTAGCCGCTGTCGTTTCTGCAGCTATGTCAGCGGTACAGTCGAAAAACACCGGTGGTGGCAGTACTGGTGGGATAGGCGGGACAAATCTACCTGGAGGAATTCAACAACAGCCGTTGACTAATAGTCAGTTACAGGTATGTGTAATATGTGATGTGATGTGCTTTCGATTTTTTTTGTCGTTGATAAATTTACTGATTCGTGCGTCGGTGGCACAGTGGTTATGACCCTCGCCTTCCATACACATGGTCCGGGGTTCGATCCCCTGCCGACGCACACCCGATATCTATGGTCGGTCTGCAAAATTTGGGCTGAAAATGCCATACTTGTACCGAAAATACGGTATGGCATCAAGCCGTAATCAAGAAAAAAAAACCTGTGATTCATCGGTTTAGACGTCTGACTTCCAACCGTAGAGTTGTGCAGGCTCAACACATCGCTCCAGCTACCAAAGTTTGGTCAGCCGTGTAGTTTCATTTAACCCACACACGTTGTTGTAGCCCATTGCCCCAACTATGCTGCAAGTGGTTGTTGAGTAATCGACTTAACCTCTTGACACATTGACTGAACAGATGGTGGTGATAGATGGTTCTGTACAGATATTTCCTGTCATTATTAAAATTAGGAACAAACACGTGCTGGCGACTTAGATTGATCAATGGTGATGTCTATATATATGTCTCAAATTATCAGAAATTGCAACCCATGGACCATTCTAGTGACTGAATGGGCAGTGAGTACCTCTTGTATAACTTGAAGGCTCTGAGTTCGACTTTGGGTGAAGGGGTAGGAGGGCATTGGTACACGCGCGGATGAAGAGTTCCAAACTAGGAAGAAACAACTGTCCATTATCCCCTTGTAGTAGATTTCAGTACTTCTCTAACTGATATGAAATCCACGGTCAAACATGAAACTACTCAAATCCTTACTAACCAACGCTTGAAAATATGATGATAATTATAGCAGCAGGATATTGATAAAAATTGATTTTTAACTGTTGTTTTGCAGGGATTTTATTGATTTTGATTTTCATCATAGACCAACTTCAGTTAGTAGGAATAACCAGCATTGGAAACTAGCGAGTGCTACACAGGCGTTTCACCCTAATTTGGGACTATTTAACGGTACGCAACCATGACCCCATCAATCAGGAGGAATCGTTCCCAGGACCATTAGGTTATACAAGGTGTGTTTGTTGACCATTCACAGTTACTGGGACGTAATCCAATGGTCCATCGATTCTAACTTCTCTCCCAATAATTCGCAATATGTGCAATATACGACCTCTAGGCATCACTGCCGGTTGGTATCTGTCCTCACATCCAATTGGATGACCGCCCCCCTCCGCTGGTCATAACTTCTCACTAGAACTCGAACTGAAATCACTGGAACACAGTATCATTAAAGAAAAAAGCTAAAAAGTGATATTAGTCATATTCGTAATTCGCCGATTTGTTAACCTATTTGCAATGTGCACAAGTTCAAGTGGTGAAATTTCACTGTAGTTTCCTTTTGTTCTGCGTCATACCGTCATAAATGGTAATTAAGAAAGCAAGCAAGAATTTGCATAAAACTATGCACTACTGAATCTCTGAGATGAATAGTGTAGTATAGTTATATACCACTTATATCAACAACCATCAGTGTTTTTGCTAGAAAGAGATCGAGGTGATCTTAACACAAGGCAGTCGTTTTACTTCAATCTAGTAGTTGTTAGCAAGCACTGCTGGTTGATGTGAATGAATGCTAGAAACTACTCATTTCAGTGTATGCGTAGTATATATGGTTTTATGCAAAATGTTTTAGTCAGTTAGTCTACCATTCATTAGATGTACACAGTCACTGTGTTATTATTATCAGTTGAGAGCCGATAATATTGTGGTAATATATCTAGTTATTGCATTAGAATGCTGTTAGTTCGAGTGTCTGAAGGGGCTTTAGTTCCTTAGAAGTTACAGATACGTCTAAATGTGTGTAGATGTGTGTCTCATCGGCTTACTCATTCAACTGAGTACCAATTTTTGAGGGCCCCTCATTTTGAGTCCTCTAGTCCACTTCCTTAAGTTCAGACAACGAGATATTTGCATCAATCTGCGCACAGCATATATGACTCTTATTCTGGTTCATATTGAATTTGTTTGTTCCAAGTAACTTGGGCACAAACAGTTAACAGCCTGAATTTTCATCGAGCCTCCAACTCACCTCTATACATACACATTTCTGCGTGAGGACTAACACTTGCCTGTAGTTTTAGTGGTGTGAGTTGTAACCAGCTGGAGTCGACTGTGAGGACAAATACCCCACCGATGTCATTAACCGGCCTTCATGGTATAAGTCGCAAATTAGCATTTCGAGTTGTTGGGTTGGCTGACCATTAGATTCAGTCCCAATTGTGTGTTCACCTTATAACTTGGCGGTTTTGGATTCGATTCCCGGCCAAAAGTCATTCCTAGATCTGTTTTAATTGGTAGTGGAGGCCTGGCAAGGATGGTTGGTAATTTTGTCATAAGGCGGCTAACAACGCCACCTCGTAACAACAAACATAATTGCTATTGACACTTCAAAGCTCAGACTTGGTGCCTTCTATTCCGCACGGAATGAAAAGAGATGGGAAATAAAGCCATTCAAAGCAGTCCTTTTTGCGTGTTTGACTGATAATTTAGTGTTGATATACAAAAACAGTATAAATAATAGCTGAAATTTCTAGGGATATGGCACTTTGCTTAATGACCAGTCGAACCCTACACGCCACTATCATCAGAGTCACAACATTTCAGTGACTGGCATGGGTTTGGACAGAATAATAATGAACTTTACATCATTAAAGAAGAGATCCACGTTAAAATTAGAACGGCTCTTAAAAAGTAATTTGACACAAGTGATTTCCAACTACTAATATCCTTTTTCAGTAGTATAGTTTCGAAAGAAATAAAAGTGTAGGCAGTGAACATAGGTGTACCGTTGTGAACAATTCTGGTCGATTTGATGGATAGCGACCAGCAGTGAAGTCAGGAGTGTGGATTTTATCCTATTTTGGGGATTGTCAAGGGTGGTGTGATTGGTGTTCTCAACAATGCTAGAACCGTGTACCCATCGTTTGAAACGCTAAAACGTTTCGTTATCCACTAGACCACTTGGGCGATGAGAGCCACTTCTTGTGCAATGGGTTTCAGCTATTATTATTTAAGCAAAATTTCATTTTGATTTTCCCGTTGATCAATAAATACAGGGGAGTCTGGATGGCGAGTCCCAAGTAGAACGAAATGTGCATCCTAGATTCTATATTAGTTTGTTTATTAGATGTATCACACAGTGGATGAAAAAGTATTATTTACTGGGTGACAAAGTTTTGAACAAAATATATTTCTGTTCATAATCATATCAATTGTAATCACATGACTTTGAGACTTGAGTTTTATGGTTTTATCCGTCTCCTGATCTGTATTTTAGTTTATAAGAATTAGAAATTAGATAATGAAGGGTAAATGGTTAGTTTTGACATTGTTAGTTTATATACAAGTATACCAATAAATATGGCTATAGAGGCAGTCAGAAACGAACTCATTCCTGACTAAGAACTCGAACTTTGGACGAAAGTGCTACTTGAGGACATAATGCTGGGAGTGCAACTATGCCTGACTTCCACAGTATTTGAATTCCAAGGGAAAATATACAAACAAACTGAGGGAGTTGCCATGGGATCACCAATATCCCCGATTGTAGCAGATATATTCATGGATAGGTGGGAAAACATGGCGATTTAAACGTTCAGCCCCATCCAAAAAGTATGGTGGAGGTATGTAGATGACAAATTCACTGTACTCAGAACACAGAATATAGATAGATTTTTCGAACACATTCACTCAAAGGGGGAGGCAATTCAGTTCACTTGTGATGAATTGGAAAGTCAGGAAGCAGGGGAACTTCCAATGGTAGATTGCAGCGTAAAAAGGAGAGAAGATGGGAAGTTAAACACGCTAGTGTGGTTACAGGAAACCCATACATTCAAACAGATATTTGGAATTCCGATCATCCCATCCTATGTCAGTAAAAATAGGATTGATGGAATGTTTAAGTGACAGGGCACAAAAACTAAGTAGTACCAAGGATAATCTAAGACATGAAGTGAGGTACATAATAGAAGCCTTGAAACTTAATAATTACTCTGATAAATTAGTCAGAAATTATGTAGGGAATGATTGAGAGGTCAAATACATAGGTCAAACTAGTAGAACAGGGGCAGTCAGACTAGCCGAACATAAAAACCTAGCAAAATCTAGATTGGTTGACCCGAATAAGATAAGAAATCTAGAGGATAGTTCAGCTATATTACTCACTAGATGCAATTATACACAACCATACAATAGGATGATGCAATAAGATGACAGTTTTGAAATCTAATGTTGTGGGGTAGGGTGGAGGGAGAGATTGATAACAGAAGCTTTGTTTATCGAACTGCAACTGCTAATACATGTAATAGGAATGATTCAACACCTGCCCACTCAGATATCTGGAGTAGGAACAAAGAAAACTATAAAACTCAAGTTTTAAAGTCCTGTGATTATAATTGATATGATTATGAACAGCAATAAATTTTGTTCGAATCCTTGTCATCCAGCAAACAGTAATACTGTTTCACCGACTGTATGATACATCTAATAAACAAACTAATATGGCATCCTAGATTCCACTAGTAGTAGTCACCATTCACACTAGATTGCTTCAAACTGGTTAATTCATGTTATTTTTTATCCTAGATTTCTTGAAGCCAGACTATCTTTAATTTTTGTTTCTATATATTTATATATATTTCGTGTTCCTCCTCTTTCCTTTCCTACGATGTACAACACCCCGCCTACAAAATAAAATAAAGCAACACAATTCATTGAATGTAATTACAAATGCTCTGAGAGCAGCCAATCCGAATTGGAATGCAATGATGGCAAATGCATTGAACAATAGCACTAATAATAATAACAACAACAATAATAACAGCAATCATCGTCTCAATACTACTAACAATGCTGGTAATAATAATAGTAGTAGTAATAATAATAATAACAAAAATAATAATAACAATTTCAATCCCAGATGTTTACCATTTCAGTAGTATGTGGATAAACACAATATACGACCGCCATTGAACATGATGAAATGAGGATGTAATGAAGACAGAAAAGCAAAATGTATATAATTACTTTATTATTATTATTGCTGTTTCTTTCTTTATCTTTTTTAATTTTTGTGTATTTTTGTGAAATTAACTAATTTTAATCTTCCCTTCTCTATTGTTTTAATGTTTCTTATATCTTGTATGTTTCATAACTGTATTTCCTAGCCTTGTTTGGTCTTCTTCTGTAGTATAAAAAAGAGAGTATTCATCGAAGAGAGATTGTTGCCAATGGACTTATTATCAAGTTTTATAATGGTATATATATATATATATATATATATATATATATGAAAGATTCGTCGCCGACACAAGGCCGACTGCGATCATTAAAGTTATCCAGAGTCATCACAGAATTCAACAGAGACAGCCGAAACTGCCCCCGGTTGGTTCTGTTCTAATAAATGCACCCGTTCCCTCGCGGGTCAGGGCATAATTGCATGTGTTAGCTCTAGAATTACTACAGTTATCCATGTAGCATATATGATCTAAGGAACCATAGCTGATTTAATGAGCCATTCGCGGTTTCACCGTTTTAAGGTATGTACTTAGACATGCATGGCTTAATCTCTGAGACAAGCATATGAATACTAGCAGGATCAACCAGTTTATTCACACCACGATACACCCATTGACTGGGCATTGGTTTTCAGGAGAACCAAACACACGCATCCTTGCCTCTTGCGAGACGAGAACGGCATGCAGGATCAACCTGTGGCGCAACCACTCGAGAGCCCTCTCCCTCGGTGGACCATTCGCACCGTTTGTATACATAGCAATACATAGGTAAGCACTGTTACGCCGACCACTGATCGCGTCAATCAATTAAGCACTGCATAGACAAGCTCAATAGAACCCATCTCGCATACAAGACCTGTCAAACGTATTATTATATGCAAAAGTAGCACGCATAGCAACACTATAGTGACAATAGGCCCCTATAAACGAAGCCGGTAGCCACCAAATTCAATGAAATCGTTATCCCTGCCAACCAATTTAGCATGCAAATAGCTTCCATACGTCTACCAAGACTATAGAAAACCATAACACAGTCAATAAGCGAGCCAAGAGATCAATTTAACCCACGCTCATATCGTCTATATAGCTTATGCTGTGTTTACTATAGGATTTTAGGGTTATAAGCTAGCAGCCTTGCATCGAGCTTTTGAGGCCTTAGACAAGCTCTAAACCCCTTGATGACAGATACCAAAACTCGTTTCACGACTTCCTCTATCGTTTGGAAGCGTTTTCTAAATTTTCAATTTTTTGAGCTTTGGGACCTGAGTTAGGGGTAGTATCCCTATATATATATATATGAGTAACTTCATGCATTTATTCCCCTTGATGAATTTGACTAAAGCGAGAACAACAGTGGTGGTTTGTGCAGAGTAATATGGTACCATCATTGCTTATTTCGTTGGCTCTTCTCATCAGCTGCCGCTGCTTACAGCCTAAATAAATTTTGAGGTTTAAGTACAGAAACATTTTAACATACTTGCAAATTTTTTCTCATGGTGTCAGTTGACAGAAAGTTCCACAATTAGTGAACAGTGCTCAGAAAATTGTGCTTATATAGTTTTTTACACAGGCAGTTCAAGTTCAATCCTTCAAAATTATCAATAGACAAAGGAGCTCCATTCTCCTCAAGTTTGCCGAGGCAATTTCTATCAAACGCTTGAAACCAGATTTATGTGTTCAGAAAGAAGCAGTTATTAGTCTTTCTTTGCCCACCTGGTAGCTGGATGTCTTTTTTCTCTCTCATCTGATTACATACGTAATCTTTGTCCTTAACCTCACCCTCCTTTTATAATTCTCTAATTTTGCTTGTCTCTTGTTTCTATGATTTGAGTTCAACTCAATACATTGTTACCTAACTTATTAGTCACTATGCCTCTAACGCACATCTCATCTTTATTATGTAACTCCCTTACCATTATATGCATACATTTATTTTGTTTTAACTTGAACTGCCTGTGTAAAAAACTATATAAGCGCAATTTTCTGAGCACTGTTCACTAGTTGTGGAACTTTCTGTCAACTGATACCATGAGAAAAAATTTGCAAGTATGTTAAAACGTTTCTGTACTTAAACCTCAAAATTTATTTAGGCTGTAAGCAGCGGCAGCTGATGAGAAGCCAACGAAATAAGCAATGATGGTACCATATTACTCTGCACAAACCACCACTGTTGTTCTCGCTTTATTCAAATATATATGAGTGTATGTACATAATATTTTAAATTATGACCGAAATATTTCCATATTGAGTCATGAGAAATTGGCACAAACAGCGAAGAAAATTTTCGCCTTACGACAATTCATTTTCATGAATTGTTGTACAATCGTGATTATATTTAACATGGAAATGTTTATACCAATTGGATACTGGTAAACGTTGTCTTTGAAAAGTTGTATTACCGGATGTAAGGTGTAAGAAAGGATGATTAATTGTAAGTTAGAAAAGAGACAGAAGTTGGCATGACATAATAAATGTCAGATAATGACTAATCAATAAGCTCGTGTAGAATGGACAGGAACTAGTGGAAAGACGATGAAGTGTTTTTGTACAAAGTCTGTATGAAAAAGCAATGTTATTAATAAACAGTAATAGAGTGGTAATAAAATGTGGATGATGGGAATAATAATGATAATAAGAGTATTAATAACGATAATAATAATAATAAACTTACATAATGAAGGAAAGAAGCGAAATTGTAGCAAAAAATTTACTCTGGCCATGGTAGGGCGAGAGAATGTGTGTAGTCCTTTTGAATGCAGAGATCCGGTTTCAGATCTCGAATAGCTAATGCTTCAGCTATATACAGATGGCGTATCCGAAGTCCCTTTGTACGGTGTTGGGGGACTCTCTGAGTGTATCACTGTGAAGCATTCATGTAAGTGGGGGTGCTCGATGTCTGGAGATGACGAGGTGTTCGAGGATAGAGCTGCTGCTATTCTTCTTTTCTCCTCTGGTTGGCTAGCCAAGCTGGACAGTGTTCCAGAATACGTTTGTGGACTTGACGTTGCTCATAGCCGATATACTTTGCTCCGCACGATCAAGTGAATTGATAAATACACATTGAAGTGGCCAAAAGCGGTATCTTGTCCTTAGCGTTCGACTGGATTAACTGTCTGCAGGAGAATGTGATACATGTAGGGTGGGTGTTGGAAATGTCTTCTTCAGACATTTAGAAAGGCGGTTTCTGAGAATTTCCGCTGAGATATCACCTTTGAATTCTAGGTTCATGAAGAGAGTCGTCTTAGGAAACCATTTAAGATATCCTATATCTGGTGACGAAATTTGAACAAAGATGTGTGAATACGCAAAATAATCATAATAATTCTAGTATGAAATGCAATCAATATATTTGTGATTATAGTCGTAGTTAAATATCAAGTGTCAAGTGATAGAACAAATAATATGATGTATAGAGTATTCAATCACTGGGAACCGACCCGGATAGCCCATTAATTTCGACTTCTACCACTTCGATATATATATATATATATATATATATATATGCGTTGGTGGCACAGAGGTAGAATTCTCGCCAACCACGCCATAGGTGGTTAGAGGATCGATCTCCGGCCCATGCGCTTCTTTACCTTGCTAAGCCAGTTATAAGACAGGTAAGTTTGTGTACGCTTGGAAGTGTGTGGGCGGTTGTTACTTCCCGGCTTCCCACACTGTGGAAGTTGATTGATTCTTCGGGTACCTGAAACAGAGAGAGGGTTAGTGTTGCGTGACCGCAGAGCATAGGGAACAACTGCTTGATTCTGGCCGGCCACACACAACCTGTGTGAGCTGGTTTCTTGGTTTGGTTTCGTATTAGTAAAATTACCGCCGGTGACGGACCACCGTAGGTGGGGTAAGTCGGGATTCAAAATTTTTGGGGGTCGACCTTTTATAGTCGCCTCTCCCCAGAGTGGAGAGACAGCATAGCTGGCCGACATGCTGGTCATCTGAATGAGGGAAACACCTCACTGCTGTTACACCCCTGTTCCCCAGTGGCAGTACGACTTCGCCCCCAGACCCCCAGCATAGTGTAAGAACAATTCTTACACTAAGCCGGTAACTTCTTTCAGTCTAATCACTATCCTAACAACCTTCCTGGCATGCTAGGACCTGCAGAGTCATTGGTTCCAGCCAGTATAGCTTGTTGGGTCATCGCGATGTGCAAGCCAGACCACCACGTCAAGGTAGCAGCTATCGGTCGGAAAGACAGGTAAAGAAGGGAGGTTGGGCGTGAGGCTAGCAGTCGCATTCCGTAAAAATAAATCCCACTCCTACCGAAACTTCAAAGCTCTAGCTTGAAGCCACCCTATGTTCCACTGCGAACATAAAAGATTATTATATATATATATATATATATACATAGCGCAGGCGCCTGCCAATGTCGGATTTGGGTGACTGTTCTTCTAACTAACTTGATAGACATCCAACTGATTAAGACTGCTTACTAGAATCCCATGTAACCTTCTGTATAAAGCCGGTCACTAGTGTGATCGGGTTAATTATCATGTGATGCTTTGCAGGGATTTGATTGGTCATGAGTTAACACTAGTTAGAGAACCATTCGAAAACCTGCAGGGTGTACTCGATATCTGTGTTGTCCTATTTCGGGACTCTTCAATAGTAATCACCCACCGGGTTTTGAATTCAGGGCCTTTGGTTACTTCAAGGCGAGACAGCTCGTAGACCGTTCAGCCAGTGGAACACGATCAAATGGTCAGCTCATAAATTCCAACTTTGGCTCATTAGCGAGTTTTAGCAAGATCAACAGCCAGTGCCATTGGATCTTGAAAATTATTCTGATCCTCATGAGGGGTGGTTGGCCACAGGATGAAGTTGTGTGTAGTTCTAATAGAAATCGTAACCAGTGGGGTTCACTAACATGTCGGGAGGGAGGATGTTAGAAGAAAGGGGTGTAAAATTATAGGATAATTAAAACAATTAGTCCCTTTGATAAGTTTGAATAAGTAAGGCATTCAGAAGACAAATTTCGCGTGATGATGTCATCATTTCGTAGTTTCTTTACAACCGCTTTACAACTAACACGGTTAACAATAATAAAGTTCATGACAATTACTCAGTTAAATAAAAAACAAAAGTGCATACTAATGACCAATCATATTTAGATAAGTCATGTACTCCATGGTAGGCGAAGATTTAAAACTGTTGTTTTTTGTACACACAGTTTAGGCTGTATGTGATCAATCCAAAGTGC